TTTGCCTCGTGACTCCCCTCACCTAGACCTCCTAAAGCCATACCCACTCTTCAAGGCTTTGCTTCAGTGGCATCACCCTCTGGCAAATAACCAGATGCTAGTCCAGTGGTTAAAACAGTGGCGTTCTTCCCCACAGGTTGGTAACAGCTGCCTGCCCCCATCAGCCTCCTTTTCCCTACCCTCCAATATTCCATATTTGCCACAGTGGTCCCAGCTCCTCCACCTGAAACTTGCCCACAGCCCCCAGGTGTCTCCAGGGTGATGAGCTGGGGAAAATAGGGTGGGTACCACCCCTTCCCACGCACATTCTTTGCCCCTAGTGAAAAGGTTCCACCCTTTATCTGCTGCCTGCAGACCCCTTGCCATACAGGGCCAGCACGTCCCTGTTGTCCTTTCTTCAAACACCTCAGGGCCTGGAGAACAGTGCTACAGCTCTTAACCCGGAGCCCAGCAGTGTCTCCTGTGAGAAACTAACACAATAAATATTCCTCAGACACGAATTGAAGCTGTGTCCATTATTTCATCATCAAGAGTCCTTGTGTTTAAAAGGCAGAGCAGAGTTTTGTGAGAGACATATGGATCCCTCTGCTTAGGAATAATTCTGCTCTCCTCGCTCTACTATTCTCTGGACAAAGAACTATAATGCAGGTTCATCTGTTTTCAGACTACAGGGCAGCATATCTCCTGAGTAATATTCACTAAATGGGAAAAGTGGAGTCTCAGGCCAAATGTCATGTCGTGATGTACCGTGACAGGGGCCTCTGAGCTGGCGCCAGAGATCCTGGCCTCCTGGATCCTGACCTCATTTCCCTTGAGCGTGGGCAAGGCTTGCTAGTTCACTTCTAACAAATGGAATCTGGTAGAAGTGATGAAGCTGGGTGTGATATGCCTGTACACGCAGCTATTGAGGAGGCAGAGAGAGGTAGGAGGATCACAAGTTTGAAGCCAATTCAGAGAAAGTTGCTAACACCCTATCTCAAAAACAAAATAAAAACAAAAGGGCTAGGGGCTTAAGAGGTGGAGCACTTGCCTAGCAAGCTTGAGACCCTGGGTTCCATCCCCAGTACCAGCAAGAAAGGAAGGGAGGGAGACTGAGAGGGAAGAGAGGAAGGAAGGAAGGGAAAGGAGGGATGGAGGGACAGAGGAAGGAAGGAAGGAAGGAAAGAAGAAGGAAAGGTGATGAGATGGCCCTTCTAAGTCCTGTTACAATGCGATGACTCTTTTCCTGGTGCTTGCTGGCTCTCTTTTGCACCGCACACCCTGGGAGACATGGCTTCCATGTCCAGGGGAAACCCTGTGACGAGGCCCACGTGGCAGGGGACCCAGGCCATGAGCGAGCTTGGGGGCAGTTCATGCCCATGTTGTGCCCTCAGATGAGACCACCACCCTGGCAACCACCTGACTGCAGACTCTCGGAGGCCCTGCTGGAAGCACGGCTAATCACACCTGGATTCCTAATCACACAAGAGGAGAAAATTGTCCACGTGCCTGTGGTTTTGAGCTGCTCGGTTTGGGGCTTGTCTTAGATAACGAAGACACACAGCTTCTTTAAGGATTTGAAGAAAAATCTCCCAGATGGCCTCAGAATTAGCCTCCAAGCCACGACTTACCCAGGAGACAAACACTGATAATAACAATAGCGACCAGTCATGCAGCACAGAGACTTGACAGTCTTCACCTTGGCATGTGCTGCTTTACTGAGGCAAAAAGATAAGCAAATGAAGGCTTGATGCCACAGAAGTCTTGACCTTCTGCCTGCACAACTCCAGTTTACTTGGCCCCACAGTGACACATACCCTCAGCTGTCCCCAGCCACACTCATCCTGGGTTAGAAAAGAGGTGGTCTGTGTCTTTAGAGCCCTGACCCGCACCATGACTGACCAGCCCCAGGAAGCCTGGGCTCCGGCACAGTCTACTAGACTGATGGCCACAGGAGCCTCAGCGATGGGGCTTGGTGGTTTTGCAAGATCGAAGCCTCCTTTTAAAAAGAGATCCATCACTCTCTCCTGAAAACCAACGTAATAGCCCTTTGTTCAGGGGTTCAGCAAATTTCATTTTCTTTCATTTAAGCTCATTTCCTCTTGGGCTGTTACAGGTGAGGATGAAAAATGCCTGATCAGAAACATTCTTTTTTCCCTTCCCTTCTTTAAAAAGCAACCTTCCCAGACTCCAGAAGGATCTCAACATCATGTGTTAGTAAAAAAGAAAGAGATGAATAAGGGTTTTTTAAAAGGTCATCGAAGACAAAAGATATTGCTGATCAATTACTATAAGAGGATGTTGTGTCTCTTCCTTTCCATGATAGCAGGAGCCACGGGTCACTCTGCAGAAAGGCCAGGCCGTCTCGTCCGGCATGGTGTGCTGTTCTGTGGCCTCGGCTCCTCTGGGAGATGGCAAAGCTGTTCCCTGCGATGCAAGGAGCTGCTTCCAGGAGGACACAGTCTGGCATTGGCCAATGCCCCCCAAAATCTTCTCCTCCTCCTCTTCCCTCGCCCTCTCCACCAGCACCTGCTCTCCCCTGCATCCCGCCTCTCTGGAATTTCTACAGCAGTGGCACTGGCTGTTTCTTGGGGGGTTAGGGAAAGTGGGAAAGTGATTGGCCTCCTCTTCTCCCCCTCTTCCATTGTGCTGGGAGCTCAGGCGCTCCCAGAAGCACTTGGAAAGAATCCAGAAAAGCCCAGGGCCCACTGAGGAGGCCTCCCAAGCACTGGTGAGAAGAGGGGCAGCTCTGTCCTGGGTTAGGGTTCTGAAAAGGCCGCCTTCACCTCCAGGCACCGGCACGATGGGGATGCTCACACACCTTTTACACACAGCCTCCGTTGTTTGGGTTTTGATAATCATAAATGAAATCCTCTGAGTCTGGCATTTATTCAAGACATTGAAGCTGAAGATCAGAAGGCCTGTGCTGCAAGAGGAACAGATGTTTTCTTGGCTTTAGTACAACCAGGCATTGTCCTGCCATCACTGTCTCGAAGCCATTGGGAAGGAACCCTAAAGGTTACTGAAATGGTGTCCCCGTTCTGTGAACACTTCTCCCTCTCCATCCCTGGGTCTCTTCTCCATGTGTCTCTTGTCTGTTCACACCACAGCATTCATGTTTTCACTGGTGTGCTTGCCTCTCCTGGACTCTGGACCAGCTGCGTACTTCTTCCAGCCTCTGTCTGTGCCCCTTTGTTAGATCCTGTGGTCTCCATTCCCTGTCCTCTCAGAACAAGCACTGCATGTGTCCTGAACCAGGAGGTAGGAGAAACCAGGCCTCGTCTGCAGTCGGCCTGTCATTTCAGGTGTCCGCAGCAGTCTCCAGCCCTGGGGCCTGCTTTTCCTACCAACACCTTCTGGGAAAGAGCAGAATCTCTGGAATCAGACTGACTAGCTACTGTCCTTGGGCTAGCAGTTTACATCTCAGTGCAGAAGAACTAGAAATGGCACGGGTGAGGGTGTGGTCCTCACAATGAGCAAAGCCGGAAGCCAAGGGTGCCTCTGAGCCTAGGTCACCATTTGCCTCTCCACAGGAACTCCCGCCTCACAGATGATAAACGCCTCTGCATTCTGAGCAGGAAAGCCACCAAAGCCACCAAAGAATGCCTGGGACACCACCAGCTGCCTCTCAGCTACACTCAGCACTGCTTCCAGGAGACAGAAAGCAAGTTCTGTCAGAAAGTGAGTTCCGCAGTTTTGAGAGGGCACCACATGCCCTTCCTCCCAAAACAGAAGAAAGGCCCTTCACTAGCCATCAGACTCCATGACAAACTGGGTCAGGGGGCATTTTATGGAGTAGTCTCAGCTCAGAGAGACGCAGACCACTACATTCTAACTGAATCTCTGATGGGGCCTCCAGGCAGAGGTCAGGTGTGACCACTCCACTTTACTCATGATTTCAGTTACTATATGTGGTCAGGAAATACTAAATGGAAAATTCAGAAATTAACACTTCACAAAAATTAAATATAACTTTTGTTACTGCATATCATCATTTTATTATTAGCTAGTATTTTTAATGACTTAACTAATTTATAATTAGACTTTATCGGAGGCTCTCTTACTTGCCTGAAAGAACCAGGCCTGGGATATCCTCTAGTCTCGTCTGTCCTCCTGGTCTGTATTCTAAACCCCCATGACTTTGTCTTCATGGGCTGCCACAACCAAGTGTGGTGTGGACAGCCCCCTTGTCTGTCTGTGGGGATCGATGCTCAGTGTAAAGCCTAATCTCCAAGTTCTGATGCAAACGGTCAGGGCCTTTCCTGCCTGGACCAATATATGCTGTGGTTTCTATTGCAATATCCGAGTGATATATGCTCAAACATAACACACCCTAATGTATTAAAGATGACAAAAGTCAACTAAAGAGACCAAGTTCCAAAGGCAAGCAAGTCACATGCAAGAAGTAGGACTAATAGGAGAGCAACAGAATTTCATAATAATAGGCCTGAGTTTTGCAACTCAAACTTCCTCATAGCCATCAGTGATCCAAACCCAGAGACGAATCCTGCCTGCTGGCCAAGCAAGCACTGGAGCAGAATACTTAAGAATATGAATTGAAGTCAAATTAGACAACTTCAAGTACAAGTCCAGCTGGCAGAGCGGCTCAAGTGGTAGAGTGCCTGCCTGGCAAGCATGAGGCTGAGTTCAAACCCCAGTGCCATCAGTACATAAATAAATAAATAAATAAATACATATTCAAATCCAAGCACGATTACAACTGTGTGAACCTGAGCAGAATAATGAAATTTTCTGTAACTTAGTGCTTATTTTAAAAGTGAGGTGGCAATATCCATTTGTAAACGTTCTGTAAAATGCCTGGCACGTAGTATTGGCTGGGTGCCTCTTGCTCCTGCTCCTAAGATATTAATCCTGATTTCAAGCAAGAATAAAAGCAGTTTTTGAGAATATTTCATCCTGTAAACGCTGCCTGTCCTGCAGATTCTGAATGACTAAGAACAAACGGGCAGGTCACAGTGTTGATGCAGAGAAAAGTGAGGGCAAATGCACTTCTCACTTACCCCTAAGATCCCAAAGCGTTCAGCCAGGCTCCAGCCACACAGAAAGTCAATTTCAAATTTGTGGTTCAGAACCACGATGGCATTTTCCTTCCCGTACTTGGAGTAGGCCCTTGGATCTGTGTAGAGGGTGCACTCTGTGCCCGACCACCACTCCAGCAACATCACCAGCTCTGGAACAAACCACAGGACAGACAGACATTTATTTCACCATCCCTTTTATCCTGGTCGGCTTCTCTGGGCCAGGATGGCAGTAGGGCTCTGCCCTCCCTGCTGGGAGAGAAAGCTACTTTTAGGGGTAAAGTCCAAGATCATAGACCCCAGTTGTTGGAAGGGTTTGGAAGCAGAAAGGAACCAAAAACTCTACAACAGTCTCTAAGGAGAGAGAAGCAGCAGCTTTCAGACAGCTAGTGACTGACATCTCTTGATTAAGTACCTGGGGAGAAAATAAATCAGAGCGTGGACCCACCGAGCGTCCCAGCCCTTGTGTTGACAGCATGAGGTGAGGTACAGAATTCTTAATCAGTGCACTTATCGCTCCTTCAATGAGCACTAAATACATGCTTTTTCTCTCCCACCGATGACACCTGAGGGCACCAGGAGTAACACAGAGCTGCAGGGTAGAAGAGCAAGAACTTCTGCCCTAAGGAAGAGGAGGCTAAATTGGAGTTGTCACCTTGTAGGCTTTGATAAAATTAGTAACACTCTTTGGAGGACTTCTGTTTTCAGGTGACAATGACCAATTTGAGAATACTCTGCAGTGATACCTCTGGTCCAGGTGGTGTGTTTCCAACTTGGTGACCTCAGGAAAATTCCCCTAGAGTGGACATTGTCCAGAAATAGAGTTGAGAGTTGGTGAGGATGGAGCTCCCTGAAATGAACGTTTGAAGCGGAAAGCGTTGGCAGTGGGTAGATACGTGTGTGAGTCTTCTGAGAAGGTCTCAGAAGACCCCTTTTATCACTGGTAGCGGGCACATGTTTGGCAGAGGGTTCCTCCCTCACCAGTACCACCCACCCCACCCTAGCCCACATGCACACAAAGGGTATGACCTTGGCTGCCCAGGGACACCTTTCTCCTCCAGGCACAAGGCTAGGAGTCTCATCCTCACAGTCGAGTTTCCAAACAGTGGCACTGTGGGACTTTGGACAAATGAAACCTATAATGCTGCAGTGTCCTAGCCTTTGGAATGGGGTTCCTTCATGGGATCTTGTGGAAATGAAAGTGCAGAGCACGCAGTGAGTACTGCAAATCAAAACTCGCAGTGTCATTAAGAACAAATGAGAACCCGCCCTTCCTTTCCCAGAAGTGGTGATAAAAAGTATCTGCCTGTTTCTGGGAGTGGAGGAAACACCTAGCCCTGCTCACTTGTCCCACCAGGCATCGACACTGGTGGGAGCGAGGAGCTGCAAGTTAAGAACCAAAGTGTTTGGGAAAGGCACCAGGGGCTGTGGCACAGCGCAGCCCAGTAAGGCAGCCTGACAAAGCACCCATTGTCCCTGCTGGGTAGCAAGAGGTTTCTAGTGCTGCATGGATTTCTTTCAAGAAACAGGATACACAGGACAGATCATTCCGTGGCTGGCACCACAAGGCAAGAACTGCATTGTTGGGTTTACCCAACCATGGCTCATCCAGCACCCAGAGAGCACTGTGCACATTGGTGCTTTCTACCAACTGTGTGGTGCCCTAATGCGTGCACACACTTTGTGAGGTGCCGGAGGTGAATACCAGTATCCAGACCCCGCCCCAATTCCTAGGCAGGACAGCCCAGAGGGAGAAGATAACTCAACAGACCACACAGTGGGACAGGAGGAAGAGAAAGGGCTGGTGGTAGGAAAGGATCTGCTAATACCATCATCAGGGAGGAGGAATGTGACCCTGCCACATCCCAGACCTGCTGGTGCTACTTCTGGGTTGTAAGACTCAGCTCAGCACATTTTCCAATTTCTCATGAAAGGGTTGCAAACCCTTTCAGAGCTGCTGCCCATATTAATTTATGACTATGCGTGAAAAGCACCAGCAGGACATTGAGCATCAATAAATAGCCACCCTTTTATTACCATTATATGCATGATAATTTTATCATATACAAGGTTCTGTGGCCACAGAAGACAGGGAAGGACAGAGACTCACAGAGAGAGTGCTGGGAGACTTTGGGACCCGAGTTATGATTTGTGATTCCAGCCTAAAGGCAATGAGAGGTCACTGGAATATTTTTACATAGGCAGGCACACAGCATCCAACTTGCGTTCTTGGAACATCGCTCTAAGTAGAGACAGATTAGAATAGAGGAGGCAGAAGTTGGGAGGCCAGGGAGGAGGACATCATGGACGCCCAGAGAGAGGGAATGGAGTTGGGAGGCCAGGCAGGAAGCATGGAGAAAGACCCATTCTTCCCTCATCAACAGGCTGTTAACCCTACAGTTCCAAATCTTACAGGCTAGAAGAGTTTTGCCTCTCTTCTTTTTTTTAACCAAAAGACTTCCAATTTAAAAAAATTCACAATAAATACAATTATCTAGCCCCACGGTAAAAAGAATTCAAACGCACCAGAAATATACAGAGGAAAATGTAAAGCTCCTTTTGCTGGCTTTGAATTGTAGCAGCTTGGCTGACTTGAACTGCACTTCCCAGACTCCCTTTCTCGCATGTTTCTAGGTCGGGGTGCCCCAAGGGTCACTCTTGGGGGTTTGAGAAGATGGAGGAAGCAATATGCCATTTTGTAGATCACACACGCTATATTGCTCATCTGCTCATCACTGCCTCAGTGTGAAGCAGCTGCTGTGCCTGTACTGCTACTCTTTCCCCGACCCCTTCCCTGACCCCTGGCTGGGTACCTGGGCAGGACGCCCACCCTACCAGTGTTGGGTTCACTGATACAAATTTCAGCCCATTCTTATGGGGCTCCAGCTTGTGTTCAGGGGCTCTAACCTCTCACTCTCCCCCACTTTGCATCCCTTGCCCCCTCCTGACTGCCTGTCCTGTGGACTCCAGGCTGCAGTACCAGGGGCAGACGACGGGCCTGCAGAGACACTGCCTGCCTGGCCCCTGCAGTTGGAAAGGCCAGTTCCCTAAGACTGATTCCTTAACTGTGGCAGACATGGCTGCACACGGCTCTCCCAGTGGCTCTGTTCCTCTGGATGCACCTGACTGAGACCCTTCCTCTTGCCCTCCCCAAATCCATCCCTTCTCCAGGGTTAACCACTGTAAACAGTATGAACAATTTGACAGGAAATCTTCCAGTTCTTTTTCTAGGCATTCACACACACTC